GGCTTTTATTTTCTCCCTTCCTATATGAGCTCTAAGGCCTACCCAAAAAAACACATTTTCAACCCCAGGTCAACTGCCAGAGCTGAACGTGGAGCAACTCTGGCCAACCGCCCCTCTCCCCCACCAGGGCTCTTGCAAATGGAAAAGGTGGCTGGCGGTCCCCTTGGCTGTTCCACCAGCAACTACGGCTCCCTCCAATACCAGCAACTCTGAAAAGATCCAGAGATATCCTGCTCCGTGGCTGCCCACCCTGAGAAGGAAGCAAGGAGGGAAGCTGAGGGAGAGGGGGCAGTGGGGGAAAAAGATGAGACAGGGAATGGAGAGGTAGTCCAGGTGTTCCCGGGAGACCTTTCTTTCAGAACCACGGGCCAGTGAGCATGCCGCACAGGTGCACTGGCCCAGCCAGCCACCTGGGCTGACTCCCCCTCTCACGTTCATTACCATTACCAGGAGTCCCTCACCCTGGAGTCTTTCTTCTGTTTCCCTGCCCTCCATCCCCACTGATCCGACTCCTCTGCACTGGAAGACAGTGGCAGGGAGGAGGGAGAAAAGCATGCTGGGGCAGGAGGACCCTCAGATGTCTCGACTGGCTTCCAATGAGCCCTCTGTCCAGTCTGGTGGGTAGTCTGGGGCCACCTGCATCATAGGGAGGAGATACTTAGAAAACAGGGGAAGAGAATCCTGACGGAGGTACCTTCCCCACACGGAATGTATTAAGGGGGCCAGGCGAAGAAGACAGCAAGGGCCAAAAGCAGGGCAGGGGTAGGCAGAGAGCCCTGGGTGTGTGCCCAACTCCCAGCGGTGTCTTATCTCTGGAGGGCGTTCACTACCTGGGTAGGTGCAGGTAAGAGGTGTGGAGGAGGGTCTCGTGATGCCGCCAGGGAAAAGAGCCACAGACATCCTTTCTCTAAAAACCCTGCCTGCCCCCCTTTGCTGTTCCTGTGGCTTCCTACATCCAGGCAGAGTACTGCCCACCACTCTGGATGTTCTGAGCAGTACCTTTAAGCATGTCTATGTTTAAGCTTGATGCCACCTGTAGGCACCAACTTCCTGCCCTCTGCTCCATGCAGCGTCTACACAGCGGGTTGAAATACCCAAATCAGAATGCAGCCAAGGACTTGGAGCTATCACCCTTTGGAAGAATGCTCTCCAGGAAAGCAGTGTTCTCAGCACATCAGCCAGCAGAAGAACTTACAGAGGGAGGATGGAAGTGAACTCGTGTTTTCGGTTTAATTTTTATCTAGAAGTTAGCAGGCTCTCCAGTGGCTCATCTGGCCCACCTCCGTATGTTCTGCTTTACTGTTCTGTTGTGTTCCAGGGGTTGGGTGGCAGAGTGGTTCAATGGATGGAGTGTGAACTCTGGACTTATTCACACCTGGGTTCAAATCCCCCTATCATCCCTTACAGCTACAAGGCCTTGGGAAAGTGGCCACCTTCGTGAACCTGTTTCCCTGCCTCTAAAACGAGTCTGGAACATTGTTCCTTGCAGGATTACTGAATTAAGAGTCTAGCCCTGTGCCTGGCCCAGAGCAGGTGCTGAAGAAGCACTGGTTTTCTTTCTCTTGCCAGGATTTAGGGAAACCCAGCCTGAAGATCTCATGCACTCATGCAACATTTCAAAAGATCTTCCTACATTCTCAAGTCAATTTGGTAACTATAAATATGTATTAGGAACACACCTGGGCGGCCCGGGTGGCGCAGCGGCTTAGCGCCGCCTGCAGCCCAGGGTGGGATCCTGGAGGCCCGGGATCGAGTCCCATGTCGGGCTCCCTGCATGGCGCCTGCTTCTCCCTCTGCCTGTGTCTCTGCCTCTGTCTATTTCTCATGAATAAGTAAACAAAATCTAAAAAGATAATAATAATTTAACGTAACTTAAATTTAAACTGATTTTTTTTAAGTTTTAGCAGTTCCATTTAAATGCCCGCTCTACTGGGCGGTACCGCGGACACAGAGGCAAGCAGCCTCTGCAAGCGTCGGCCGAAGGCATCATCCACTTAATGGTGGAAACGGAAGAGGCGAAAAGTCTAAAAAAAAAAAAAAAAGGAACACACCCTGGTGAAAAATTTTACTTGGGGTTATTTCTTGGTGAGTTTTAAGAAATACAATCAAGCATAGAAAATGTACTTTTGTAAATTATCTGTAAACAACTGGTGCAAAGCTGAAATTTTCGGTGAACTGAGAAGGAATTCAAGCAAAAGTGCTATACTTATTCCTCTGAGGGGTTTCTCAACTCTCTGATCAACATTTTTTTTTAAAGATTTTATTTATTCATGAGAGACACACAGATTGAGAGAGAGAGAGAGAGGCAGAGACATAGGCAGAGGGAGAAGCAGTCTCCATGCAGGGAGCCCGATGTGGGACTCGATCCAGGGTCTCCAGGATCATGCCCTGGGTCACAGGCAGGCACTAAACTGCTGAGCCACCCAGGGATCTCCACTCTGATCAACATTTCCAAGAGGATTTCCCCACATGGATTTAACAACAACAAAAGTCCCAAGTCCCCTGGTTCATGCCAGTGATCTATCATGTTGCTTCTTTGCTCAGAACCCATGCGGGCCTCTGCCTAGCCTCTGGATCAAGCCCAAGCCTTTGGACAAATTCCCAGATCAGCCCCTACCTACACCTCCGGCCCCATCTCCTACCATCCCACCTACACATCCTATCTTCCATCCACACCAAATCACCAGAGTCTTCACATGTGCCTGTTCTTTCTACCTCGGCTGTGCCATTACCCAATGGAAGGCTCCTGCTCCCCTTGCCTGCTGAGCCTCGGCTAAATACCACCTCCACCAGGCAGTCTTCTCTGCACACCCCCCTGCTCCCAGCATGTTCCTAACTTCCCATGCTCTTGTTTGCATAACCAATATTCCTTCTGGCTGAGGGCTCACTGTGGACAAAAGCCCTGTCATTTCCCTTTACATCACAGAGTTTAGCCCATGGTAGGTACTTGGTAAATGTTTGCTGATCTGATGAAGGAAGAAAGAGACAAGTAAGGAGATTTATAAGAGACAAGACAATTCAGGATGGCTCTTCCCTGACTTCACTGCCCTGCTGTACTCAGGTCACAGTGATAACCATGTGTTACACAGCACAGAGCACAGTTATACAAAGTAGGCTTATAAACCCATTTCACAGGCCATGAAACTAAGGCTTGGCAGGAAGGTTGTGCCTCATCAGGGCTAGGGGATGATGAGCCAAGACGGAAAGCCATGGCTCCCATGAACCTGAGTCTTGTGGCTTGAAAGTAATATCCCCCCCTTTGCCACGGTGCCCACTTTCATGGAGAGCTTGTGGGGAAAAGAGCAGCTCCATGTTTCTGCATTGAAAACATTTCTGTCCTACAGAGTCCCCTGGGCCAAGAAAGCGCCAGGGCACAAGGTGGAACACATACGAGAGCAAATCTATGACTCTGTCTCAGGCCACCCTGAGCCAAGTCCCCCACCCTGGGATCCACTGCTCAGGGTGGGGTTCTACACCCCCTCTAGTGGGACACCAGACTTGCCCACTGCTTGTGCCTTTGGTGGGTCCAACACCATTAAAAGCGGACCCAGGTTTTCCCCAGGTCTTAATCGGCTCAGAAGCAAAGTGACAAGTTCCATTTTACGTAAGGTGGCAGAATGGGCTCTAACAATGTGTCATAAATGGGGGGTGGCGGTGGTGAGGTGGGGTCGAGAGTGTGGGATGGCGATGGGCCATTCAGGGAAGAGAGCCAGGACAGGGCAGATAAGAGATCTCATCCAGCAGACAGATAACGGAGGCTACAATGACAAAAGAGCCAGGAGCCGTCGCTGGTGCATCGAGAGAAAGGAAGAGCATATTAAATTTTAAAACAAAGCCCACCCCAGGGGAAACCTCCAGCCTCTGTCTCCCAACACGCGCCTCTCATTTCCAGCACAGGTTCATAGAAACTGAAACGTCTGTCCCTCATCTCCGGGGGCTGGGTTTTGTGTGTTTTGTTTTTTGTAACCCTATGGGCAGCAGCTAGCATACTGTGTCTCTGGGTTGCAGGGGAGCAGCCTGGGCCTCCAGGAACCCCTGTAGCCTTCCCACCAGGCCCGGGAAGGATGGGCAGGCCGGGACTGGGCCACCCTCTTGACAGGATGGTGAAGGGGGGTTGGGAACCAGAGCAGGGCAGGGACTTGCCTGAATGTGCTAGATCTGGAGGGTGGGCACCAGTCTGGGTGTCAGCAGCAGAGAAGAGGAAAGAGGGAAGCTAAGAAGTCGGGAAGGTCCTCAGAGGCCACACCAACGAAAACTACCATAAAGAACACGCTGACATGCAGGAGGAAGAGAGCCGAAAAGGAGGAAGAGCGAGCGTGGAGCTGGAACAGGAAGGCTCGATTTAGCCTAAGCAAATGTTACTTCCTCAGTAATTCCATCAAACCTCCCTCCTGGCCCCCTCCCTCCCCTCCAGGGCAATGGTGGAGGAGTCAGGCTGGTGGCTGGAGGCCTGGGCAGATGCACTCCCCCTGGGGCCAGTACAGGAAGCCGCCCCCCACCTTGACCCCGACCCAAGACCCCAAACCCCGACCCAGATTGGGAGGGGTAGCCTTGATCTCTGGTGTTAGGGTCAGATGTTTGCTTTATGAGCATCCTCTTGGAAGGGAGACTGTCAGAGCTCCCTGAGAGACTCTGAGCCCTCAAAGCCAGCACTGTCCAGGGCATTCTGAGGTTTCCCTGGGGAGCTGCGGGCCTGCCCAGCTGCCTGCAGTCCGGGGAGACACAGCCCTAGAGTCTCACTGCTAACCAAGGGGCAAGGATGGGACTTTCTCCATCACAGCTCAGCTCAGACCTTCCCTGACCCCTGGCTCTCCACCAACAGGTGCTCAACATTTGGCAAGTGATGTCTGAGAACCACACAGCCGGGGTTTAAAAGAAAATGACTTTGGATTTGCCCAAAAGGAGTAAAAAATATGAGACAACCTTTCTGGAGGGCAGTTTAACTATCTTAATCAAGAGCCTTTAGGGGTGCCTGGGTGGCTCAGCAGTTGAGCGTCTACCTTTGGCTTAGGTCGTGATTCTCGGGTCCTGGGATCGAGTTCCGAATCAGGCTCCCTGCAACGAGCTTGCTTCTGCTTCTCCCTCTGCCATGTATAAATAAATAAAAATCTTAAAAAAAAAAAAAGAGAGAGAGAGAGAGAGAGAGACTTTAGACTGTGTCCTTGGGCCAGGGGTTCCGTTCTAGAAACAGATGCCAAGGAATAATCAAGGCTGTGGACAAAAACACCCAAGGATGTTCACCACAGCATTCCTTATAAGACAGAGAAAGAGGAAATAATGTAAATGTAGGAGGGCTGATTAAGTATATTATGATTTTTCTGTTCGAAAGCATATTATGCAGCCGTTTAAAGTGAGCTGGGCACAATGAGCTCTGGGAAGTCCTGGAAGTGTTGAATCGCTACACCACCCCTGAAACTAATACAACACTGTATGCTAACTCTACTGGAATTAAAATAAAAAAAAATAATAAAGTGACTTGGAGGAAGAGGTTTAACTCCATGAAAATTTTAATCACAAGTTGTTAAGGAAAAGCAAAAAAAAAAAGAAAAGAAAAGAAAAAGTAACATGAAGGTACACACAGTATGATCTCATTTTAATTAAAAAATATAGGGTGGGAGGGCATATAATATACCAAAATATTAATAATTATAGAGGGTTCTTTCTTCTTTTTGCTTGTTTATATTTCCTAAATTTTCTGCAAAAATCACAAATCTCTTTGTAACAAGAAAAAAATCAATAAAATCTATTTTCTAAAAAACAAAAGGAAGAGATCCAAGAGCCAAGAGACTATTCATTCCTTGGGACATTCAAACCTGAACTGGATTTGAAACAAACAAACAAACAAACAAACTGAACAGAGATATCTTAAAATCGCCTAAGAATATTTTCAAGAACTAAGGGGTAGTTTCCAGTGAGGAGGAATTAAAATCTCCGGGAGGGCTTTCTGCGTGCAGGCAGGGTGTGAGTCATGAGCAGAGAGCCAAACCCTCCAGAAAACTCAGAACCCAACTTCTCAGTCCAGATCCTTCAAATAACTGTCACCGGGGGAGGAAGAGGAGAGCAAGCAGAGGGGCCAAGGTGCAAAAAAGGCAAAACAAACATTTCTTTTGTCCTTCATGGAGGACACAGGACAACAGCCATCTCTTTAGACAGTAAATCCAAAAAGAAAGAGAGGTTTTGGAAAAAACAGGCCCGTTCCTGAGCTGAGACTGGTTAATTTACCTGGGTATAGGGAATGAATTTTTACAACCAAGGTATAAAAGCTCTAAAAGGTGAGTTTTGGGGCACCTGGATAGCTCAGTTGGTTAACTGAGGGACTCCTGATTTCGACTCAGGTCATGATCTCAGGGTCATGAGATTGAGCCCTGCATGGGCTCCATACTCGTTGGGGAGTCTGCTTAGGATTCTCTTCTCTCCCTCTCCCTCTGCTCCTTCCCTCTGCTCACATGTGTACTTTTTCTTTATAAAAAAATTAAAATAGGGGCAACTGGGTGGCTCAGTCAGCTAAGTGCCTGCCTTCTGCTCAGGTCATGATCCCAGTGCTGTGGGACTGAGCCCTGTGTTGGGCTCCCTGCTTAGCAGGGAGTCTGCTTCTCCCTCTCCTTTTGTTCCTCCCCCAACTCATGCTCTTTCTCTCTCTCAAATAAATAAAATCTTTTAGAAAATTAAAATAAAAAAAGATAAAATAAAATAAGGGCCTGGAAGACAAATTCTGACAAGCTCTGTAACCAAAGCAAAAGAACTTAGCTGATGTTACATAGAAGTTTTCCCGGAGAATGAGCTGGAACACAGGCAGATGATGGACTGGAACACTTGAGGGCACTGAGAGTACTCAGCACACCATTTACAGAAGTTGGCCTCAGCCTGAGACCTAAAGACCAAGGAAGGAAAAATTCTACAGAGGATGGTCTTAATTATTCAAGCATCAGGAAAATCCAAGGAGGAATAATGGCAGACATCTGTATTTCTCCAGTCCTCTTTATGATCAAAAGCTTTAAAGTCTACCTCAAATATAAAAGTTTATTCATTTGAGGGACATATACTGGGTGCCTCCTGTCCGTTCGTGTGTTCAGTAAATAGCTGGGTACAAACTTTACATGGGGACAGTTCTGTGATGTTCAAGGCACTTCCACCGGCCAGACAAACAAAGATGGACAGGGTGGGTCATTAGGATGCATCCCTTGTAAAGATGCCAAGTAGCACTGTGACAGGGAGTTGGACATGTTGGCTCAGGCCCACAGACCCTGAAGACTTCTTACCCCCAAAAGCATTCCTCAGCTCCAAAGGACCCTGCCTATTTCTAAAGAAATGATGACTCCAACTTAGAAAATAAATATGACACCACACACGAGTACAGGTGGTGCTGGATGATTTTATATCTCTTAAAGACATCAAATTCTTCCCCTGGGTGAAGCTGTACCTATAAATTACAGCCTCATACTATATATGGCCAACACCTTTAGCTTTGTTCTCCTACAGCATTTCTACTTGACAAAAAAAGAAGCCGTCAATACTCTTAATTTGAAAACAGCATAGGAGGTATTTCTGTGAGACCAAAAAAAAAAAAAAAAAAAAAAAAAAAAAGGAAGAAAGCAAGCACTTCTCCTTCCCTTTAATTAAAGGGATGCCATCCAGTTGCACCTCTGGATAGAAAAATAGAAACAGAAAAGTATTCTTCCAGAATCTTCTGAGTACCAAGTACCTTTAGCCCTACAAACTTCACCATCTAACAAAGTGAAAGCCCCAGCTTAAGGCACCAGGAAGTGTTCCCTTGGCACCTGGCAGCAGCTGGTACCTACCTGAGGCCAGTTCATAGACAGTAATAAAAGCTCCCTTGAAATAATGTTAAGGTTCAGACACTCTGATAAAAGCCGGGAACTTCAAAGGTAGGACTGCAAAGCCCATCCCTAATCCTCCTCATTGTGTCTGATGTGGCTGGTTGGGCTCTGGGTTGGCCCTACCACCTAGTGTCTGAGCTTTGCCCCATAGACATTTGTGAACCGGACAGCCAGCTGGGGTGGGTGGGACAGAACTTCACACTCACTCCCTCGGGAGGGGCGGACCTTAGGCCACAGTGCATAGCCACTGGTCTCTGACCAATGGGGTATCAGTTAAAAATAAGGGAATAAAACAGGAAAAAAAAAAAATACTGATCTACAGGCAGGAGCCCAGTGGTTCTGGAGTGATAACGGGATTCAACGCCAGGTTCCAAGGCTCTCTATGAACTTGTACAAGTCACTTCAGACTTGAACCTTAGTTTCTTTGTCTATAAAAATGGTAACGTTACTGGGAGTTGTTGATGGGAGTAAAATAACCTGTGTGAAAATGCAGAGAAAAGGTGAGATTCTTCTTCCCACCCACCCTTCCTTTTTTCTACTCTAACTTCCTTCTTTAAAAATACCCCCCCCCTTTTTTTTTTGGCTAGATATGCCCAAGGCACAAAATTCAAAATGTAGAAAAAGTAACCTTGCAGAGCTATTGCATTGCTGGGCCTTCTATCTTGTACTCTCATTTAAGAAACTATCTCAGTGACCAGGACCACATCAACACATAGGGAGCTTTCACATTCTTTTGTTTTACAGCTGCAGTATTGCATTGTATGATCAAAGGACAGTTTATTTGCCAGCTCCCTCCTGGTGAACATTAAGGGTTTTTTTTGTTTGGTTGTTTGTTTTTTGCTTTTACAAGCAAGATGTAAAGAACTATCTTGAAAAATGCTCATTTTGCATGTTATGCAACAAACCTGTGATAAAAATTCCCAGAACTAGAATTGCTTGTGCATTTTGGATTTTAATAAATATCGTCAAAATCCTCTCTATATAATATGCACTCTATCGACAGTTGTGAGAGTATCTGTTCCCATTGCCACTTTTTCATGGTGGAGTTAACTTGCATCTCTCTAGTTAGTAGTGGGCTGAACATGTTCTTACATGGTTGAGAACCATTTGTATTTCCTTTTCTGTGAACTGTCCATGTTCTTAGCCTATTTTAAAAACTGAGTTGAGGGTATGCCTGGCTGGCTCGGTTGGTGGAACATGCGAATCTTGATCTTGGGGCCATGAGTTTGAACTCTATGTTGGGTCTAGTGCTACTTAAAAAAAAAAAGAGGAAATAAAATAAAACAAAAAAAGTTGAGTCGAGGGGTGCTTGGGTGGCTCAGTCGATTAAGCGATTAAGCGTCTGCCTTCAGCTCAGGTCATGATCCCAGGGTCCTGGGATGGCTCCCTGGTCAGCGGGGAGTCTGCTTCTCCCTCTCCCTTTCCCATTTCCCGTTTGTGCTTTCTCATGCTCCCTCTCTGTGTCAAATAAATAAATAAAATCTTCTTTTTTTTTAATTGTGTAGGTGGTCTTTTTCTTAATGATTTGTAGGAGTTCTTTAGGTATTAAGGAAACCAGCTCTATGACCTGCATAGCAAAAATGTTCTCCAGTTTTGATTCCCTTTATGATGACTTTAGCCACACAGAAATTTTTTACTTTGTGAATAAATATATCAATATTTTCTTTTATGGCTTCTGGGTTTTAAGCCATAGTATTTTCCCAGGTTCATTTTTTTGTATTTACCATCTTTAAGCCATCTGAAATCGATTGTGTTATAATTTGTTTGTTTTTTAAAAAGCCATCAAGATGTTGTCTCAAGTCACAAATTTTAAAATGCCATCTTTCTTTCTTTTTTTTTTTTAAGATTTTATTTATTTATTCATGAGACACAGAGAGAGAGAGAGAGGCAGAGACACAGGCAGAGGCAGAAGCAGCTCCCTACAGGGAGCCCGACGTGGGACTTGATCCTGGGGCTCCAGGATCATGTCCTGGGCCGAAGGCAGGTGCCAAACCACTGAGTCACCCGGGATCCTGCCATCTTTATTTCATATCAAATTACCTTTAATTGACCTCTGATTCCCTTCTCTTTTTTGTCTTCCAAATCCCGCCTAGTTGCCTCAAATCATGCTCTTTCTCTCCATGGCCCTCATATCCCTTCATTCCATTCCTGAGCCAAGGGTTGATCCATGTTATCGTGACTGACAATCATGCAGATCGTGCTGAATCTCAGCATCTTAGAGCAAGCAGAAATCTCAGAAGTGTCCCTTCATTTTATAGATAAGGACGTTGAGCTCCAAAAAGGTGAACTGGACTTGTCCAAGATTACAGAGCAGGTTAGTGCTTAGATTTTTTTTTTAATTACTATCCAAGAAGAAAAGAAGAATTGATTTTCCCATAAATTCTGTTCAATCAATAGGTATCTATTAAGCAACTACTATGCCCAACAGTGAACCAGGCTTTGGGGCTCCAGAAATAAATGACACAGCTCAAGGTTTCAGGAAGCTGAGTCCAGTGTGGGGTCTAAACATACACACCTACAGGCTAAGAGGTAAGGCAACAGTGGCCACTGGATGTGGAAGAACAAGTCATTTCTGCAAGGGATGGCATGGGGAAAGCTCAGAAGATACACAGTTTTTATTTTTATTTTATTATTTTTTTAGAAGATACATGATTTTTTTTTTGAAGATACATGATTTTTAATTGGGCCTGGCATGACCAGGACTTTGTCCAAATAGAAAAAGTATTTGGCAATAGGGGAACAATGAGACAAAGTGGGGTGTCTCGTGGTATATAGTCAGGAAGGAAGTAATCTGGCCTAGTGTTAGCTGTGGGTGGATTTTCAAGAAAAGGTTCCTCTGAGGATCTGTGGTCATTGCCAGGCCCTCAAAACTGCACACTAAGACTTATAAATAAATGGACCCATCTGAAGGGCCTTTAGGTGCCTGGCAGAAAGCAACATATCCAGTATGGAAGAATGTACTTTCATCCCATACCTTAAAGAATTCTCACAGATAGAATTCTTTTTTTTTTTAATTTTTTTTTTAATTTATTTATGATAGTCACAGAGAGACAGAGAGAGAGGCAGAGACACAGGCAGAGGGAGAAGCAGGCTCCATGCACCGGGAGCCTGACGTGGGATTCGATCCCGGGTCTCCAGGATCGCGCCCTGGGCCAAAGGCAGGTGCCAAACCGCTGCGCCACCCAGGGATCCCAATAAACATAAACTCACAATCAAATATCATAATACACATACAGGGGTACCTTGTGGCTCACCTTGTTAAGGATGTGACTCTTGATTTTGGCTTGGGTCATGATCTCAGGGTCTTGGGATTGAGGACTGTGTTGGGTTCAGCATTCAGTGAGGAGTCTGCTTGAGGACTCTCTTTCGCTCCCCTTTTCCTAATTCTCCTCTCTCCATCACATGTATGTGCGTGTGTGTGTGCACGCGCGCATGGCATGCTATCTCTCTCTCTCAAATAAATCTTAAAAATAAACACAAAAATCATGAAACACATGGGAAGCAAGTTCTCAAGAGTGGGAATCAGCAGAATTATCATACAACAGAACTATACCTGCATACACTTCAGAGACTGGAATTAGTGGATACAGAATACAAAATAAGTATGTTTAATGTGATTAATAAAATGAGGAATTAAAAATACAAGTAAGGAGTAAGATATTACTACAAAACACAAACTACCATGCATACTCAGAAAAGGATAAAATAGGAACACAGAAATAAAAAAAATATAAGCATCCAGATTAAAAACTCAAAGGATGAACATCAAAAATAATAACTCCAGGGGATCCCTGGGTGGCGCAGCGGTTTGGCGCCTGCCTTTGGCCCAGGGCGCGATCCTGGAGACCCGGGATCGAATCCCACGTCGGGCTCCCGGTGCATGGAGCCTGCTTCTCCCTCTGCCTGTGTCTCTGCCTCTCTCTCTCTCTCTGTATGACTATCATAAATAAAAAAAAAAAATTTAAAATTAAAAAAAACTATAAAGAAATAAACCATTAAAAAAAAAAATAATAACTCCAATGGAAACATATCAAATATATTAAAATTTGTGAGTTAATACTGATATTAAAAATACTTCCATGGAAGGGCTAACCAGAAGACTAGAGATAACTGAAGAGAGAATTAGTGAGCTGGAAGATAAGTAAGGTATTATCTAGAAAACATTACAAAAAAACCAAAAAATTGAAAATGAAAATTAAGAGATATAAAGGATAGAATAAGATCTAACAGAGACAGAGATAAGGATGGAGAGACAATATTAGAAAGAGACAACTGCTGAAAATCCTCTAGAATTGACAAAAGTCACCAATCTTTGGTTTCAGGAAGCCCAATGAATCCTTAGCCAAAGAGATTCAAATCCACTCCTAAGTAATTAACAGTGTACTGCAAAACATACCAATGAGTGCACACACACACACACCCCACCACCAACAACCAGGCAGATGATATTATCTAAGAAAAACAGTAATTGTGCTACCAAACTTCTCAACATCAACAATGGCCAAAAGACAATAAATACTATCTTTATTTATATATTTATTTTTTAAAAGATTTTATTTATTTATTTGAGAGAGAGAGAGCGAGCATGCATGCGTGCATGCTCACATGCAAAGCACGGGGAGAGTGGGGCAGGGAGGGAGAGGCACAAGCAGGCTCTGCGCTGGGTGTGGAGCTCAATCTCAGGACCCCGAGATCTTGACCTGAGCCAAATTTGAGAGTCAGATGCTCAACAGACTAAGCCACCCAGGCGCCCCTGGAATACGATCTTTAAATACTCAGAGAAAATGACTGTCAAGCTAATGTTTTATACCCACTAAAACAATAATAAGGATGACATAAAATTCTTGCCAAACAGAAACTGGAAAGTTTATGACTAAAAAATCTTTACTACGTGATGTTCTGATCCCAGAAAGTAGGTTGGAGATGCAAGGAGCAATAGAAGTAAATGAAATGGAATATACGTGGAAAATTGAAGCAAAGGTTAACTGTATAGAACATTAAAAATAAAAGCCTGGGGGCGCCTGGGTGGCTCAGTCGGTTGAGTGTCCCTCTTAATGTCAGTTCAGGTCATGACCTTGGGTTCGTGAAAATAAGTAAATGAATGAATGCCTGATTTGTGTGACTGAAGAGAGAAATAAGATGCATCTAAACCATTGTGTGACAACTGAATGTGACTTTATATAAAGCATTCCAAGGTCCTTGTATTATTTGAGAAAAGGAAGACACCGACTAACTTTAAACCTGCAATCTGCATGCATCAAAAGAATAGAAACAGTGTATAAACTGCAAAGCAGTAGAGAAAAAACAGAGTGAAGGAAAGAAAGAAAAAAAAGAAACCCTTTTAATCGATTTAAAAGAATGAACAGGGGCTCCTAGCTGGCTCAGTCAGCTGGTGGAGCATGAGACTCTTGATCTTGGGGTGTGGATTTGAGCCCTGGGATACATGATGTAGAGATGACTTAAAAATAAAGTCTTTAAAAAAATTAAGGAAGGGATCCCTGGGTGGCGCAGCAGTTTGGCAGCTGCCTTTGGCCCAGGGCGCGATCCTGGAGACCCGGGATCGAATCCCACATCAGGCTCCCAGTGCATGGAGCCTGCTTCTCCCTCTGCCTGTGTCTCTGCCTCTCTCTCTCTCTCTCTCTGTGACTATCATAAATAAATAAATTAAAAAAAAATTAAGGAATAAACGAAGAATCAGAAAAAGAAGAAACAGAAAGCACAAAATAAGATGGTAGAAAGAAATCCATATCTAAAACTATAACCAATGTAAAACTAGCTCTGAAACTGTTTATAGGAGACAGGAAGACAGGGACATAGGATAAGAGTCCTGTCCTTGCAGGCTGAAACCAGACATGGAAAGGAAAGAGTAGCAGGGAACCGTGGCTGAGGCACCCAGTGTAGCCAGGAGAGAAAGGAATGGCAGAAAACAGGGTCAGAGAGGGAGGAAGCGGGCCCAGAGTGACAAGCCAACACTCTCTGTGACAGCATCTGCTATGGAGAAGTCAGGTAAGTAGAGGTCTCCAAATGGACTGCCAGGTGGGATTAGGGGATGGGTCAGGGTCCCTGTGAGAGCAGGTGGGAGTGGGGGGTGAAATACTCTGCTGTTTCAGAGCCGGAGAGAAGAGGGGGACAGAGGAGGCAGGGACAGAACGGGTGAACTCTTCTCTGTGAAGTCCTAGGTGGGGAGAGAGTGATACAGGAGTTGAGGAGAGTTAGAGCCAAAGGAGAGGGAGACAGGTGTGTCTGTACCTGTAGGTATGGGACTGGGGCACAGGAGGATGTGCTCAGGCCTATGGAGGCAGCTGGGGCAGGATACAGGGGATCTAGGGATGGAATTGATGGTAGGCATGTTCCCCCAGTGGGTAGGCACTGGTTCCCCAACTTGGGCAAAGGGTGCTTCAAGGGGCTGTGCAGTGGTGAGAGATGGGAAGAATTGTGAATTTCAGACGTGACCTGCTTTCAGATTAATGGCAAGTCCACAGTGAACTCATGGTCTGTGGCTAGTGAATGTGGCCCTGAGGGGCAGTGAGGCAGAGACCCCAGGATCAAACACCACAGAGTGGGATTAACCTACCAGCACTGGGGATCCCTGGGTGGCGCAGCGGTTTGGCGCCTGCCTTTGGCCCAGGGCGTGATCCTGAAGACCTGGGATCGAATCCCACATCAGGCTCCCGGTGCATGGAGCCTACTTCTCCCTCTGCCTGTGTCTCTGCCTCTCTCTATCTCTCTGTGACTATCATAAATAAATAAAAATTAAAAAAAAATTAAAAAAAAAAAAAAAACCTACCAGCACTGCCAGCCTCCAAAGGGTACCTGATGCTCTTCAAGAGGCTGGCTTGGATGTGAGGAGGTTATGATAGGTTTGGCTCTTGTGTTTTACCGAACACATGCAGGATAGCCTTCCCTATCTGGAAGCCTATCCCATGGCTGCCCTCCGGGGAATCGGATGGGGTCACGGATGGCATTCAGATGTGACCCAGAGGACAAACCACACATAACCAAGAGTCATCACAGAAGTTACAGTTTCCCATGTAAATCTGGAGGGTGGACATTCCTGCTTTCTGTGGGGATCATTCTTACCTGATTTTGATCCCCTACTTACTCCACACTGGGGGTGCAGAAGGAAGAAAGGGAATGTGGTCGGGCCACCACAACGGGATCCCCTATTCTCAGCTTCCAACTGTGCTGAAAATCTTCCCGTTTCCAACATCTCTCTCAGTACTCCCAAAATATACACACAATAGAGCATATATATTTAATATCAGAGATACCTTTACGATGATGGTTGCAGAAGACAGAATTAAACCCCCCCTAGAGGTCAACCCACTTCTAATAGTCCTTTTACTCCGTTTATAAATATATAGATGATAAAGATAAGACACACTGATAAAAATGCACAGAGCACAGAAATGAATTAAAGAGAAAACAAAAGGCCTCTGTAGTTGGGGGTAAGGCACTGGGGATGGGGGAAGGGTCAGGTCTTCGAGCTACACACATTAATTAGTAAGTAATAAGAACCAGTCATTTCACCTTTTGAAGCTGCTGATTCGACATAGGTTTTTGGCTCTGCTCTGGCTTCTCACATCTTTTGATCCCCCTTTTGGAGTCTGCCCTAATCTCTAGCCACCACCTCACCCCTTATTTGACAGTGCATTGCTGCAAGTATCTTTCTGCCTAATGCTAAAATTTTTAATTTAGCCTGTAGCACTGTGGCCAACTTGTTTTCTTTCTTTTTTTTTTTTTTTTAGCAAACAAAAATGAGTTGGGCCCAACAGTGACACAGGCTCTCATGGGCTAGCCTGGCAACCTGGTGTAGCTTGTAACAGGTCTCCTTTCTGTTTTATGCATGGGCAATTGGGGGACACTGGTAATCGTAGGGGCCTCCGTAATCTCAATTTCTGTTCTACCAAAAGAGTTCTCCCCTAATCCCTGTACAAGGCCTGTTACGAAGTTAGGCTTTGTGAGCAGGGGCTCTGTGGCCCAACTACTCAGGGCCAGGCCTGGTTCTGACACCTGACCTCGGGAAAGTTATTCCACCTAAATGAACAGATATGTGGAAAGTGCTTACACTAGTGCCTGGTCCATATTAAGTGCTGTGTCATTAGAGAGCTGGGTGAGATTAGTTAAGAGAGGCATTTGCCCCTAGTTCCGGGAGGCCAGAGATCCCTTTGAGGCTGGCAAGAGCTATGGGTCCTCTCCCCAGCAAAGTGCACATACATGCACGTAACCTTCTGCACAGCTGCCGGTGCCCCCAATGCTGCAAAGCTCAAGGACCACTGGTCTTGGCCCTCTGGTCCTCTCTATGCTGATGTGAGGATCTCAGGCACGAAACTCTGTGGCAATGGTTCAAGTCTTAAGTTCACAAGCAATGGCCTATTGAGCAACTCCCTCGTTTCAGGTTCCGCTTTTGGCAGAAATGTTACACCTTTCTTCCCCAAAGCCCTTCTGACCCTTGCCAGTTTTGCTCTTGATTCAGGCCAAATCCTCCTTGGGTCACCTTAAGACTATCACTCTGTGTGCAACAAAGCTCCACATGCTCTTTGCGAATCATTCTGGTCCTTCTGCAAAGCTCTGATGGTCAGGCCACTGCCCAGCATTGGCTGAAGTCAGACCACTGCACGGACTGGTGCCTACTGGGCTCCCACCGAAGGCCCTGCAGAGGTGGATACTGCAGACGCCCAGGCCCTCACTCTTAATAAGCTTAGAAATGGCACAAAGCAGGAAAAGCCAAAGATGACAGAAGCCAGAAGGAACTCATGAGATGATCTAATTCCCTCATTAACCCAGAGAAGTGACTTCCCCGTGGCCACCCAACTCATTCACAGCAAAGCTGAGAACTTAGCCGGTTCAGTGCTTGGACTCCTTCGGCATTTCTCAGGCTTTACCATGCAGGTGAGTTGTGTTAAAATGCAGATTCTGCATTTCTAACAAGCTCCTAGGCTGCAATGCTGCTGCTGCTGGGGGTAGATGGGCCACTGAGAGTAAGCAGGAGTTTATGTCACAGTCAACAGACTATTCCACCCTAGTTAAAGCCTCCTCATCCACCCTTCCTGTGGCTGTTTAAATGCTCTTTCTTCAGGAAAGCCTCCTCCTTCCCCTCCATCCTCCCTGATTACCAGCTCCCATGGCCTCTGTACTTTTCCCTTTGAAGCGTTTATAACAACTGTAATTAAAGAGTATTTGTATAATTATTAGCTCAGTGTCTGTCTCCCAGGGAGACTATAAGCTCCATGAGGTCGGGCCCAGCACAGAGAGTGGGAAGTCATACTAGCAGCCAAAGGGGGACTGTTGTGGTCTGGAATGGCCTGGGCCAGCATTCTGGAATAGGAAGGGATGGATCATACACGTGGAAAACACCTTCTGGAGGCCTCAAGACCAACAACGACACTGCTAGCTTTAGAATTCCCCAAGTTTCAAACACATACCAACTGAAATTTAATTTGAAAAGCATCTTTCAAAAGAAGAACATCTCCTGAATGTCTATCAAGTGCAAAAGAGCCCCGATCTGGTACTAGCCACTCTGCCTAGGGAACAGTTAGGCCTCCCAAAGAAGCATTCTCTTGGAATCTTCGTTGGGCAAATGGTCTCCGAGCACTGTACGGGACCCGGCAACCACAGCAGAGGCCACGCTCCCTGTCCAGCCTCATTCCTCTGCAGACCAACAGCTTCTTTTTCAGTTTTTCTACTGCCATCCTTCTGAGGAACCCCAAAGCTCCAAGTATTCAGCTCTTTGGTGTGGGCAGAGAGATGCCTGACCTCGTGGAGGAGGCAAAGTCTAAGGTCAGGTGGCCTGGGTTCAGGTATCAGCTCTGTGCCCTTGGGCAAGTGACTCCAACTACTCTGCGGTCTAGTTTCCCCATCTGCCAAATGGGAATAATGACGTAGGGAGCAGCAGCTGCAAGGACTAAAGGACAGAAATACACAGCACAAGCCTGGTCCCAGATCCATGATTATTATTATTCTCCCTCTATCCAGTACAATTCAAGGTCTCTCTATTGTTTGGCACAATCTCTACCCAGTGGCTCCACCTATTCAGGATCGACTCTTCCCTGCTGCTCCTGCCTTACCTGTCTGGAGCTTGTCTGAAGCCATGACTCACTGCAAAACTCTGCAGGTCCCATCAATCACCTCCCTGTCCCCGCCTCTGTGTGTCACTCGTGGTGGGTTCCTTCTGAGAGATAGGTCTTTTTCCCAATGCCCAATACACTTAATCACCAGGTATTATTGAGGGCCAGCCCTGTGCCAGGCTCTGTTCTGGGCATAGGGGGCTAAGCAACGAACAAAGGCTTTCTACCATCACGAGCTGATATTCCAGTAAGAGATCTGATATCAGCTCAGGTCTCTGGCTCTTCCTTCACCCCCATTCCTCTCCACAGACCAATCTTAAGTAAATCGCACACAAGTACAAAGCACGCCAGATCAAAAAGCGCTGAGTGTGACTTAGGAACATCCCAGTGATTAAAATCCTGCCCCACTGAACTGGTGGACTTTGCTCCTGGTTCCCTAGCAGTCATGCTGGCCTGTCAAATCCTCCAGAACAGAGTGTGTGTTTAAACACCTGGACAATGGGGTGCTCCGTTTACCTGTCTCATGCAGGTAGCATACACCCATGGTTTCATTATTCTCAGAGCCACACTCTTTGGACAGAGCCTGATTCAGGATTCCCAGCAGGAATAGAGGCCATGGCCTTGGGTTGAGGAGCACTGGAAATGGACTCTGAAAGCCCATGTTCAAGTGCTGGCTCTGCCAACAGAGTGTGGCCCCAGGCATGGAGATTTTCTGTGCCTCAGTTTCTTTTAGACAATCTCTGAGGTCTTTGAAGTCTAAGGGTTGCCATCAACCATCATTACCAAGAGACTCAGCAGATTCAGCTATTCCTTAATTCAGCAACATGAGTTCCTGCCCTGGGACATGGTGGCGAGCGAGCCAGATGAAGAGCCTGTGAGGAGCATCCTCTGAGATATACCTGACTTCTCCTTGGTTTATTTACTCCCTTCTAACTTCAAACTTGACTTTTAAAGAAAACTCTGATAGAAATATCTCCAGGCCACAAGGCAAACCTAAAATAGAAGTCATACAAAATCTCTGGTGGTCCCATTAGTCTCCCTTCCTTCAACTCGAGAACCATTCCAGACCTTGTCTGTCTCCTTATCTCTAGACAGAGAGCGTAAAATAAGTCTCTCAGTAGGAAATGCATTGGGATGGAAGTGACCCAAGTGCAGAACAAATGGCCTACCGGCCACACACCACAGAACAAGGACTCACCTAGGACTCTGCCTGGAGAACAGTAAGCACCTGCCCTCCCCTCAACTTACCGCATCTCCCTCCACAGACAGGTGGGCAACCAGGCGAGCCTGGAGGAAAAAAAAAAGTGACCCAAATGTCCAACTCCCCCTGCTCAAAAGAAAGCAGCTCTACTCCCACTACCTTCCTGTGAGAAAGCTAGGTCCTGCAGGTTTCTGGAACAAGAATGCATCTGGAACTATAGGTAACTACTTATGTGTCAGGCAGGTGCTTGGCCCAGGTGACAAAACCACCAAGAAAGCTCTAGAAAACAATATATTCACTTTAAAACAAGTAAGAAAGGTATAATCATACTTGGTCTCAAAAATCAAAACTGGACAGGCCCATGGATTGATCACAACCGCTCAAAATACATATTCTAATGTCTAATGACAATTAGGGGTGGTTTTCTTCCCTTCTCCCATAAGACCCGGTCCTTTGAAGGCCCCTGATAAGAGCACAATAGGGATGCAGGCCCAGGAGCCCTCTATTTGGGAGAAATTGAACTTTGACTGTTTTCGCTTACACGTGTCAAAGAGTAGCTTCAAAGTTGGCTGGGTGACCCCCGAGGGTGCAAAGTCCCGCTTTGAGCACCTGTGGGGGAATTTGGGTGAATTTCCCAGGTGCCCACGGGAACCGTTTACGTCCCCTCCAGGACAACCACCAGCTAGGATTTTCCATTTTGCACAGAAATAAAGGCGCTCAGCCTGCAGCTCAAAGGTGGGCCACCAGGATGGTCATTCGCTGGGCCGCTCAGACAAGGAAGGACGAGCCCCTCACAGTGTCCCTGTGAAAACGCACCCCGGCTGCGGCCCTGCCTTTGCCCCAACCGACGAAGAGCTCAGAGATACACTGAGGACCGTTTTGGGTTAGTTAAAACCCACGCCAGCACCTCCCTGGCTGCTTCTACCTTCCCAAACTACAGCCTAGACTGGAGGGAAGCAGTTGCAGCGACCATACAAGTCATCTTAAAAGGCAAGTTGGAAAAAAAAAAAAAATCCGATACGCACTAGTTAGCAAGTCCGCAGTTAGGGGGGCGGTGGCACAGGGGCCGGGTCTGTGGGCTCCGCGCGCCCGCAGGGGCTGCCCCGTCGGTCCCCGGGTCCCCGCGCCCACCCGGCAACCTCTCGGCCCCTCGTCTGACGCCGGCGATCACACCCCACAGCTCCGTCCAATTAGGAAAATGACCGCGAGGAGACCGAGCGAGGGGCGGCGGGGAAGGGGAAGTGAGACGAGGGAGCCCAGGGACAGGCCGCGGGGACCCCGCCGGCCGGCGAGCGCCTTCAACAGGTTCCCCCGCCGGGGGCGGCCCGGGTCCCGCAGCGCACGGTGCGCGGCCGCCAGCTGCCTCCGGGGGCGCCCCCAGCCCCCGCCCCCCACGCGGCGGCGGCGCCCTCGGCCCTCCCCCGCCCCCCACCCCCCACCCGGGACGGCGGGGACGCGCACCAGCCCCCCCCACCCGGGAGAATAAAGTTTGTGGGCAGCCGCAGGGGCGGGGCGGCGCGGCGAGGGGGTGAAACTTTGAGTCCCGGGCCGGGTGTGGGGGGAGCGCGCGGGGCGCCGGGACACCCACGTGCGGGCCCCGGAGCCGCCGCCGCCGCCGCCGCCGCCGCCGCCTCCCGGGCCTCCCGCTCCGCCGCCGCCGCCGCCGCCGCCGCCACCGCGGCGCTTTCCTTTCATTTCTGCTTCTCTCGCTCCCTCTCTCTCTCTCCATTCGCGCGCTCTCCTCGCTCTCGCCCTCTTTCGCTCGCTCCCTCCCTCCTTCCCCTCCCCCTCCCCCCCCCCAGACGCCATCTCTCCCTCTTTCCCCGGCTCTCCCTCTCTCCCTCCAGCTCCCCGGCATGAGGGAATGTGGAAGTGAAAGGAAAAGACGACATGTTTGCAGCGCGGCGCGGGCCTGCGCGCGGCCGTCCCCGGGGAGAGGCGGGGGGCGGGTCGGCCGCGGCCGGCCGCCGCGACCCACCCCCGCGCCCCCCGCGCCCCCGCCGGCGCGCCGCCCGGGGCTGCGGGGCCGGAGCCCGGGGGCCGCGCGGGACACTCACCCTGGTCCGGGCGCGGCTCCTGCGCTGGGGCCCTCGGCGGGCCGGGGCCGGGGCCGGGGCCGGGGCCGGGCCGGGGGCTCCTGGCTGCCCACCGCCCGGGCTGCTGCTGCGCGCCCGCCGCCCGCCTCCACGCGCGCCCGCCGCCTGCTCCTGCCGCCCTCCCTCCGGCTCCTCTCTTTCTCTCCCTCGCTCTCTCGCTCTCTCTCTCCCTCTCCCTCTCCCCCCTCTCCCTCTCCTCTCTCGCTCTCTCTCCCTCCTGCTCGCTCTCTCGCTCGCTCTCTCTCTCCCTCCCTGGAAGAAGGGAATGAGGCAGGGCTGACGTGAAGGGATGCAAAACAGCTCCTCCTAACCCAGCTCGCAGAGGAAGAGAGACAGAAAAGCAGCCCTTTTATCTCTCTTTTGTTTTCTCACTTCCTTCCACCGCCCCCCCAGCACCCCCCTCCTGTCAGCCCAAGTTTTCTTTTCTCTTTCTACCGCAGAGAGGATTTTTCTTCCTTTCTTTCTCTTTTCTTTCGGTTCAACTCTCCCACTCAGATTGAAAGCCTGGAGGGTTTTCTTTCTCCTTTTTTTTTTCTTCCCTCTTTTCTTCCTTCTTCCTCCTTTCTTATTTCTCTAAAAGGGTTTTGTTTGCTGTGGGAGTTTCGTTTGAAAATCAAGTCACGCCTTTTTTCCTCCTTTTCTTTCTTTCTCTCTTTTTTTTTTTTTCTCCTCTCAGCAGAAAAGGGGAACAAAGATTAACTGAAGCGGGGGAGAGGGGGAGCGTCAGAAGCTCGCATGGAAATGGGGGCCCCCGGGCCGGCCCCGCACAAAGGGGGCCCGAGGGCTGCGCGCCCCCTCCCCCCTGGGAAGCCCGGGGCGTCCTCCCGAGAGGAGGGTCGGCGGGGGCGGGGGCCGCGGCGGCCGCTGGGTGCCGGTTCCTTCCGAAGTGCGGGCGGGGGCTGCCCAGGCCGCCCCTCCCCAGCCAGGGGTGGAAAGCTGGGTGTGTGCTTGACTTATATATTTTTAAAGTAGGCAGATGGGCTTGGAACAAACATCCCCGCAGAGCACTGAAGTGTAAAAGAGCCTTTAAACAGCTGTTTGCAGAGCCCTGGACGGCCAGGCTCGAGGGAGCGGCGCGGGCTGCGAGCGCGGGCCGGGGGTGGGAAGGGGCTCGGAGGCGGCGCTGCGATCCCCCCCCCCGCCCCCGTGGGCTCTGGGGTCCCAGGGCCTGGGCCCCGGCTCCTCCTCCCCACCCAGCCCCCACCCCGGGCGCACGGCTGGGGGGCGCCGAGGCGTGGCCGTTGCCGGCGCTGGGGTCAGGCCCCAGGCGCCTCCTCCTGGGCCCGCGGGCTTTGGCACCGCCTGGCCTCCCCCAGACCCCGCTCCCGGGCGGGCCGGACCCGCGGCCTCCGACCTCGGGAACGGCCGCCACTCCGAGCGGCTTCTCGACTCCGAGGCTGGGCCGGTCGTGCGTCCTCCGGCTGAGCCGGGCAGAGCCGCCAGGAAGGGTCAATTATTCATGGGGCGCCTGGGCGTGCTCCCAAGACCTGCTCTGCCCTCAGCTTCTCCGGAGAAGTGGGGAGAAAACAAGGCAAAAAGTTCCCAAAGTTGGCCACGTTTCTCATTTTCCCAAGTAAGTATTGAGCACCTGCTGGATGCCTGACCCTTGGACTGGGGCTGCTGCCAGCGGCTGGGGGAGAAACGTGAGGTCTCCGGGGGCCCCGAGAGTTTCCGCAGGAAACAATGCCAGAGCCGGCTGCAGCCCAGGACCAGGTCATCGAGAGGAAGGAAAGCCTGAATCCTCACCCCTCCCTCTTCTCTTCCTTCCCCTTCTCTTCCTTCCTCCCGGCGGCTTCTCCTTGGCTCCACCCCTTCTCCTCATCAATTCCTCCCACACTTCCCTGCTCTCCCTGGCTTTTCACTGGAGGGTCCCTTCTCCCAGCGAGGAGCAGATGCTGAGCCCCATTGTCTCTTCCCCAGTGACTGCTGCCTCCTGGGGACAGGACCTGCCACTCTTCACCCCTCCCCCTTGCCCTTAGGCCTGGGCCTTTGGAGACTGGAGCCCCAAGGCCACTGCCCCTCACCCCACCCTAAACCAGCTCCTGGTGTTGTGAGCAGTGACTCCAGTCACTCAGAACGTGGTTTGTTTTCTGCCTGGGAGTGAGAAAACAGTAGCCTGAGACTTTGCTTTTAGCAAGGAGAACATGGTTTTCACATCAGAGCACTGAGCCTGGGATGACCCCAGAGCATTCGCCTACTATGCCCTCTTCATAGGATAGACAGGAAGCCACATTGCTGTCATTTTATATCCTCCCACTTTAGTGCACCTAAGCTGTATTCTCCAAACAAAGCAGAACACAGCTCTGATAATCAAGCATTCGTTTAACAAATGCTTACTGACTACCTGTTCTGTGCCCGCTACTGTGCTGGCTGCTGAGGACCTGACCATGGTCACACTTGGCCCTCACTTGGGCTTTGTAGCCTTGCAGGGGAGGGGAAGGGGCCCAACCACAAGTGCTGTGGGACACATACAAGGATGAACTGAGGAAGCACGGAAGAGGGTACTTGGACTGGAGCGCTCAGGGATGGCTTTCCGGAGGAGGTGACATCTAAATGAGTAGGCCTGTGCCAGGCAAATGCATGGGAAGGTACAGCCTGTCCAAAGGCCCCAGGGCAAGAGAGAACATTCTTACAGATTCTTGGAATTGCCACAAGTATTTGCTGCAGTGTGGAGTGCAGTGGGGGAGTGGGGAATGAGGACTGTTAGGTGCACAAGTCAGAGGAGAGGCCAGTGGGGAGTGTGTCAGGGCACAAGTCAGGGAAGAGGCCCAATATCAGTGAGATGTGCACATTTTAGCTTCTCCCACTTGCTAGCTTCATGAAATTGGGTGATAGCAGCCTCAGTGAATAACTTAGACTCAGTTTCCTCACTCCTGAATTGGGGTTAAGAAGACCTGTGGGCTGCAGAGACAGGGTCTTCTGTTGAAGGGCCCAGGCTTATTGCTGCATATCCCTGGACAAGTTGACCTAAGTTTTCTCATCTATAAAATGAGGATGAAAGCTCCTGACTCACAGGGTCGTGGTGAGCCTTACCTGAGCCCATGCCAGCACAGGATCTGGGACATAAGTACCAACATATGGTAACTTTTATTCATTATTATTATAAATCAGGGAGTGACTGACAGGGAGGTTCCCTTACAACCTGGAAATGACATTACCCTCTGGGTTGAAACCAAAGTGACTCACCATGTCAGAAATGTGATGTGCTCTCTGGGGAAGAATCATTCCTTCAAAGATGGCCTGGAAGGTGACTGGGATTGGGTGGTGACTGGGATTGGGGGAACACCTACGTCTGATCAGGATATCCAGGGTGTCATCTCCCGAACATGACTGGAATGTGCAGACAGGAGTTACAGAGTCCTGGCCTGATTAGTGGAGTTGTAGTCTACCCGAAGAACAAATAGGAATCAGAAGTGATGGGGGCCTCATAAAATCCAGGAGGGCCCCTAGGAGCAGACACCTGGCTGCATTTGCTTAGTGGAGAGAAGTAGACACACAAGTTCACACCGAGAGGGAGAGAGGGAGGAAAAGAGATTATTGACTCCTCCAGAGCCCTAATTAAATCGATTAGAACCTCTCAGGCCTTTGCTTGGGTTTCTCATTCCCCAAGGAACGCAGGTAAACTTGGCACCAGCAAAATGCCCCCTGGATAGAGGTAGACCCCGGCATTCCAGTTCATGCATTGTAAACACTTTATGCTTCTATTATTTCTTTATGACACGAGTTCATTGTGAAAGAATTTGAAAACCAGCTAAGCCCAGCTGAAAAAGAACCCCCTGTAGAGACATTATATTTTGGTGTAAATCCTTGGACATTTGATACCCACATATCCTCACATAAATGCACACATCATGATGAAACTGTGCAGAGTGAATCTTGTTAAGCAGATGAATAGTGATACATGTAAATATGTTATTTTTACAAAATTAACAAAAATGACATAGCACTACACCTACTGAATTACAGCCACTTCTCCCCGGTAACAGGCCACAAATATCCTTCCCTGTGCGTAAACGTCCACATTATCACTCTGAACAAATGATACTATTCCATGGTGTGCGTATGTCTCAATTTGTTTAAACAAATTTTTGCACTGTGGGATGTTTTCCAGTTTTCCACTTTTCCACTTTTATGGATTTGCTCTGGTAAACATACTTCTACAGGCACCGGAGTGCTGGGTGGATGTGGATGTCATATTCTGCTCATCGTTTTGTTTATTTTTATTTTCATTTTTATTTTAAAGATTTTATTTATTTATTCATGAGAGACACACAGAGAGAGAGACAGAGACATAGGCAGAGGGAGAAATAGGCTTCACGCAGGAAGCCCGATGTGGGAATTGATCCCAGGACTCCGGATCACACCCCAGCCAAAGGCAGATGCTCAATCACTGAGCCACCCAGAGTCCCCTGCTCGTTGTTTTAGATAGGAGGAGACGGATGCACAGAAATGTTAAAACAAAACAAAACAAAAACCCACAAACTTCCCAAGGCCACAGCTGTGGAGTGGCTGGACCAGACCTTGAAGCCAGAGTTTCAGGTTGGGAGTTCCTTTCCGGCATGTCTGTTTTCTCTTTTTCTTTAGAGCACCTGTTCCCTTCATGGACCTCCCTATTACCTTTTTTTTTTTTTTTTTTTCCACAGATTGCTTCCCCATGACAACTGGTCGGGGCAGGTGACCCACTTCCTTCTCTGATCCCTTTTTAAACTTGAGGAATGTCCACTTCTGGGGGCAGTTGGGAGGAATAAAAGCAAGTAATGTATGACACGGGCCACGTGACGCTGTATTTCATAAATTGTAAAGACCATGTGAATGTCAGGAGCTCCCATCAAGGGGCTAGACACATAGTCAGATACCACTGCTATTGAGCCAAGTCCCCTGACCTACCTCAACCCAGGAAGGAAGCTTCTAGATTCACACTAGAGAGGGAGAAATCAGCTCTCGTGATGCAGAAGAAGCAAATGGAGGCCTCTCCTGGGAATGCCATGGTTGCCCGCCTAGAGCAGAAATGGGAAGGAAGGTTTGTCATTATAAGGTGTGCTCATCCTCATGGTCTCCCTGAAGGAGGATGCATTCATGCCACAGGCCTTCCAGAATGTTCACATCCATCTCTGAAAATCTGAGGAATCTTGTAAGCTGAGAAAAGAGATGAAACACAGCTCTTTGGTGTTTCAGTTGATGTGTTCGCCAGAGTAACTGCTTGGAGGTGAATATTAAAATCTGTTTCTTTCAATTGACAAAACCAAACAGACATTTAAAAAAGTATCACCAGTTGCTTTACAATATTTAAAATTCAAGTTTTAGTATAAAGCCTCCGAACTGGAATCCAGCCAGTGAAAGATGTAGGACCCCAGGGTCTTGCTAAAAGGGGCTGTGGAAAAGCAGAGGTGGATCTAGGGCACCTGAAAGACCAGCTTAGTAGCCGGGGACCCAGAACTGGCGGAGAGTCACTAAGCACTGGGTTGGTGACTGGGCTTCCACAGAAGATGGGCCTTGACTCAAAATCCTCAGAACTTATAGTTACAATTTAGGAATACCCAGGATTTCCAGGGCAAACCCAAAGGAAAGCGAAAGTCTGGATAAATGGGGCTAACCTCTGACATCTGCAGAATATTTTTCCAGGAGTAATGACAGGGTGCTTCAGATAGTCCATCTCCAGTCCACCTCCTCTGACCCCTTACTTGTAACCAAAGGTGCCTATTTGCATAAGTTTATTCCCATCCTCCCTTGGATCCATAACTTAACTGGCCTTCTTTGCATAAATATAAGAATAAAAATACGCCCAAACAAACACAGGTCGTTGACCGTAAACAGGAAACTGCTGGTGTCACCAAACAGTTAAAAACAAATAAATGCAAGAAAGCCACAATGACAACAGGTATTGCTATGGGAGGGCTAATTGATACAAAGCCTGGAGAATTGTTTGGTATTAGAAATCAAGAGAAGTTTAAAAGTTGCTTAGATTCAGTAACTTTTGTTCTAGAAATCTGAGAGAAAGAATCAACAAAGTGGACAAAAATGTGTGTTAAGGATGTTTATCAAAGTATTATTTATGTTGGCAGAAACTACAAACAAAACAAAAAAAAAGGAGAAGGAAATAACCTAAGTATTCAACAATGAAGAAATTTTTAAAGAAGTTAGGGTGTGCACATTTGATGTAATAGTGTATAACTATTAAAAACCATGTTTTGGGGAGTGCCTGGGTGGCTCAGTTGGTTAAGCATCTACCTTCAGCTCAGGTCATGATCCCAGAATCATGGGATCAAGCCCTGTAGTGGGCTCCCCACTCCTCAGGGAGCCTGCTTCTCCCTCACCCTCTGCCCTACTCCCCTGCTTGTGTTCTCTGTCTCTCTCAAATAAATAAAATCTTTAAAAAACAACAGCAACCATGTTTTTTTTAAAGATTTAATTAATTAGCTAATTAATTTAAAGAGCACGGGTCAGGGGAGGGGCAGAGGAGAAGAGAGAACCTCAGACTCTCTGCTGAGCATGGAGCCCAATGTGGAGCTCGGTCCCATGACCCTGAGATGGTGACCTGAATGGAAACCAAGAGTATGGTGCTTAACTGACTGAGCCACCCAGGCACTCCTAAAAGCCATGTTTTTGAAGAATATTTAATGACCTGGGAAATGTTTGTGACATCCTGAGCAAGATACAAAATTGCATATGCATCAGAATTCTATTTTTGTACAATTTTGTGTATACACATACATTTATCCCAAAAACACATATAAAATACTGAGAAGGAAGTACAAACAAGTTTAAAAAGTTATTTCTGTTTGCAGGAATTATAGGCAACTTTTATTCCCTTCTTTGACTTTTAGTGTATTTGGTAAATTTCTATATTGATATTATTTTAAAACAATTACATAAGTGTGGAGACCAAGATCTAGTCTCCTTATCCTCTCCACAGGCAACAGTGAAAAGACCCAGGCCAGGCCTTCAGGGAGCTTCCACTCTGTAGGAGAAACAGCCAAGCAAACAGCAAGTGAACTCTGCAGAATGCAATTATTTCTTCTCCCTTGGAAATGTTTGAAGACCTAGGAGGAAAGAGGAACCAGCGTTTTGGTTGCTGATGATTTGGGCTCTGGGTTGAATAGACTATCTATTGTGAAAGTGTATTGTGCAAAAGGAGAATGGGGCTTTTTATGAAGGGAGATAAAGAGGGTGCGGGGTGGGAACTGCTAGGCTGGGGGAGGAGGAGGCAGGCCTGGAAGTGGCGGGTGGACAATGGGCAGGGCTACCCTGAAGGTCCTTCTAAGTTGCCCTCTCCAGCCTACACCTGGGTCACAGCGTCCAGGGCCTGCCGAGTACTTGGCACTCTGTGCGGAACAGGGGCTCAGCAAATGTTTACTGTCTGAAAGCATAGATGAATGAATAAGCATGTAATATCAGGGATCACTCTCATGAATTTCCTTTAAGGCATTAATTAAATAAACATGTTGTCTGGAAAAGAAAGACTCCATTGTGAAGCCATGATGATGGGCAAGACAGGAGAATTTATAGTCTTCACCAAGGCAGCAAGGTGTGTGTGTGTGCGCGCGCGCGCGCGCGTCCGCGCACGTGCACATCTCTGCTTTAATGTCAGGAGGGTCCTGAGTTCAAGTTTGAAGGTGGCAACAGCTGGAGTCTGAGGAGCTCTTGGCTGTGGCAACCTATCAGCTCTGTGACCTTGGCTAGACTCAGTCTCTGAATGTTTCACTGCCTAGAAAATGAACTTAGGGCAACCTCACATTCATGGATTCATGAAGATCAGCCAAGATAATGCCTACAAGAGAATGCCGGTAGACTGCAAAGCACTCTGCAAATGGAATGAGTTTTTCATGTCAGTACCATTACCTATAAACCCCCAGGCATCACCTGCCCTGCCTGGCAGGGACAGGGGAGGGGGACCAAAGGGTGATGGCTTTGTTCTGTTGAATCTTCAGAGGTGAATTCTCCTTTTGCCTTTAATCTTGGCTTCATCAAGAAACAAACAAACTGAGAACCCCCGCAACGTGCTGGCCACCGTCAAGGGTCTCCCAGGCAACCAAGGGTGACACATGTAACACCAGTGATGACTTATACAAAGAACAGAAGAGGAGGACTCAGCTCTTATCTTTGGGAAGCCTTCTTAGAAGTGGTGACTTTTAAAATGAATCTTGAAAGAAAAGCGGGAATCTGCTCAGCAAAACTAGAAGGACAGGCTTTGAGCAGGGGAACAGACTTTAGGAAAGTTACTTACCCTGCATTTTTCCGCTCTGAAGCATCCTACCTCTGCTGAATGAGACAATACATGCAAAGGGCCCCGCATAGAGCCTGGCCTTCAGTGGCTACTGAAAAAAGCCAGTTCTTTGTCTTCTTGGTATCAAAATCACTTCCCCTTTGAAGCTTACTTCCTGTTCACATTTTGTGCTTCCCCCCACATCCCCCCAGAGTTCCTGGAGATATTGTGACTGTTGGCTTGGGTCATAAGTTACACTCAGCCTATTTTCCAGGATCCATAAAATAATTTTAAAAATGGAATTTTCGACCATAAAGAAAATCCCAGTACATTTGAAATACAGACCTCATATAGACCAACCAAAATTATGAAAACCAACAGTGTATGTGCAAAGTTCTACTCAAAAGTTTATTGAACTTTATTTATTTATTTGGAGGGGGCAAGGGAGGGGAGGAGCAGAGGGGGAGGGACAAGCAGACTCCCCGCTGAGCACAGAGCCTGATGTGGGGCTCTATCTCAGGACCCTGAGATCATGACCTGAGCTAATTAATCAAGAGTCACACGCTCAGCCAACTGAGCCACTCAGGCGCCCCCCACTCCAGTTTTTTTTTTTTTAAGATCTTATTTATTTATTCATGAGAGACAGAGACAGAGCAGGAAGCCTGCTTCTCCCTCTGTCTATGTCTCTGCCTCTGTGTCTCTCATGAATAAATAAATGAAATTTTAAAAAAGAAAAAAAGAAATGTCAGGAAAAAAAACCCCACATAAAGATAAGGAAGGAGGAGATCAGGCAAAAAGCGGAAAAAATAAATTAGGAAAATGGGAAACAGTCGAATTGATGCATGTGCCTTTGCGTTGGTTTTTTTGGTAAAAACGAGGTCTGAATAATACAATGGACAAATGGAAGGAAGAAAAAAAGCAGAGACAAACACAAGGTGAAATGGTGGGAAGAGCAGAAACAGACATTAAACATAAAAATACAAAAGGATATTATGTGACGTTGCTGATGAATTTGAAAACTCCCATGAAAAAGGCAATTTTCTGGGAAGAAGAAAATAGAGAAGTTTCTATTTGACAGAATCAAAAGTAGAACATCTAAAGTACGTCCTTCGGTTTCTGCTCAAAAGCACCCTGGACAGAGAGGCTTCCCCAACCAACTTTCCCAAGCCCCGCGCCCCCACCGCTCTGTTTCCATTTCCCCGGCAGCGCTTCACACCATCTGATATGACATATGCCTAATTGCTTACTTGTTTCCCTTCTTCTCTCCCCCCTGGAATAGGAGCTTCCTGAGAAGAGAGGATTTTGTTTTGTTTTTTTTTTAATTAAACTTTTTATTTTGACATAATTGTGTTTTTTTAATTAAACGTTTTATTTTGAGATAATTGTAAGAAAACCGCTTGGCTTGCTGCTCTATACCTACTGCACAGAACTGGGCCTGGCACACACAGCGGGCTCTTGAAAGAAATACTACTTTAATGAGTAAATGAATCGAGGAAGAATTTAAGGAAGATAATCAAGCACACTTGCCCCCCAAAGTTGTCAGTCTGGAGAGTTTTCCTGGGGAGCG